CTCAGGTGAGGGGTGGTCGCAAATCCCGGACGAGCCCCCAAATGTTAGAGCCCCGGAAAACTCAGACATTTAGTTTATGTTATAAAAGGGGATTGCAAATGAAGTAAATATACTATTGCATATTAAGGTTGGTTACATTGTTTTTTTAAAAAAGATTTATTTATTTATTATGTATACACTGTTCTGCCTGCATGTATGTCAGAGTAACAGATCTCATTAAAGATGGTTGTGAGCCACCGTGTAGTTGCTGGGAATTGAATTCAGGACCTGTGGAAGAGCAAGTGCTTTTAACCTGTGAGCCATTTCTCCAGCCCTACATTCTTTTCTTTTCTTTTTTTAAAGATTTATTTATTTGTTATGCATGCAATGTTCTGCTAGCATGTATGCCTACAAAACAGAAAAAGTCACCAGGTCTCATTATAAGATGGTTGTGAGCCGCCATGTGGTTGCTGCGAATTGAACTCAGCACCTCTGGAAGAGCAGCCAGTGCTCTTAACCTCTGAGCAATCTTTCCTTCCCTACTTTGTTTTCTTAAAGCCAAATTTAGAAGACTGGATATATAGTAGGAAAACAGATTGAGTACATAATTTTAAGTGGTTTCTAGGTACATTATTAACTTGGTTGAAAGGTCTGAAGAAAGTTCAGTTTCTGAAGTCAAGGTGGATTTTCAGAAAAACACATTATCATTCCACAGGTTGTGTTGTCCAGAAATTAGATTTTGAGGTAGAGTGAGGAAGAAGATCTGTGCTAGGTGGGTGTGGTGGTAATTCCAAGATTTAGGAGACAGAGGCAGGAGGATTTACATAGCAAGGCCTTCTATTACCAACAACAACAACAAAATTATAGGGATAACCCCCCCCAAACTGAAGTCTCTAGCATCGTGAGGTGTTTGTTAGAGATGCCCCCAGGTATAAGTGGCTTTGCTTGACCTTTGATGCTCAGGGTGTTGCCCTGAGAACTGTGACTGGTGCTCAGGTGAGCTTTAGTAGCTAGTAGCTGGAGTCTGTGAGCCAACTAGAATGTCCCTGTGTAAACAAATTAAGAAGGATGTTAATAACATCTTTTAACGTGAAATATGCTGTAACTTTTAGTGTGAAATACGCTGAAATATGTGATTTTTTTATTTTTAAAGATGGAGTCTCACTATGTAGCTCTGGCTGATCTGGAACTCCCTGTGTAGACTGAGCTGGCCTTGAACTCGCAGAGGAAGGCAGGTTTATGGCAAGCACGTGTTCAGCTGTTATGGATGCCAAAAGGGGAGCAGATCCCTTCAATTTTAAGTGCTTTCTAGGCATATTATCAACTTGTTCACAAGGCTTGATGAAAAGGCAAGATGGATTTTTAGAAAAACACATCATCACGGCACACGTTGTACTGTCCAGAAACTAGATTTTGAAGTAGAGTGAGATGAAGATCAGTGGGTGTGGTGGTAATTCTGAGGTTTAGGAGACAAAGGCAGGAGGATTTACAGAGCAAGGCCTTGTATTACCACCACCAACAACAAAAATTTAGGGATAACCCCCCACCAAACTGAAGTCTCTAGCATCGTGAGGTGTTTGTTAGAGATGCCCCCAGGTATAAGTGGCCTTGCTTGGCCTTTGATGTTCAGGGGGGTTGTCCTGAGAACTGTGACTGGTGCTCAGGTGAGCTTTAGTAGCTAGTAGCTGGAGTCTGTGAGCCAACTAGAATGTCCCTGTGTAAACAAATTAAGAAGGATGTTAATAACATCTTTTAGCGTGAAATACGCTATAACTTTTAGTGTGAAATATGCTGAAATATGTGATTTTTTTATTTTTAAAGATGGAGTCTCACTATGTAGCTCTGGCTGATCTGGAACTCCCTGTGTAGACTGAGCTGGCCTTGAACTCGCAGAGGTCTGCTTGCCTCTGCCTCCCCAGTGCTGGGATTAAGGAAAGGCATGCACCAAAGAGTAAATAATTTTTTTGATTACTGGGCTTGGCTCTTGGTTGATTGTGACTGTGAAGACTGGAGTAGGTGCCATGAGGTAGAGGTTGCTGGCCTTCTACCTATTGGCTGGTCCTGTGTTGCCCATCTCCCCTCAGGACAGCTTTGAGCAGTGACTCATGGAAGCTGGATACTTAGCTCCTGTAATGACCTCTCTAGGGCTGTAACTGAGTTTGCTGATCTGCTCTGCCCTGTAGTAGGGTTAAGCTTCATTTCCTAACTAACACATACATTATCCTGTTTTGTTATAGTGTCTTAGTGTTGTGCCATGTTCCCAGAGCCCAGAGACTAACCCAAGGTGTCGACACTCTAATGCAAAAGCAAAAGGTTTCTTTTTATTTCAAGCTGGCCAGCTAGGATCTCACTGCATGACAGGCAAATGAGATGCCAGCCAGCCAAAAAGAGAAGCGTTTAAAGGAGCAGATCAAAATGTTGAAGGCCACACTAATTTCACAGTTTCCATGGTTACTTAAGGTCATACAAAGTACAGGGGAAAGCAGTAGCTATATATTTTAAGCAAGATACATTTGAGTGAGATAAGACAGGGCATGGGCTTTCAGGGCTACAGGGTCACAGAGTGTGAAAGTTATCCCCTGGGCTGGGGGATCTTTATGACCAGCAATTAGCAAAAGAATGTTAATAGGAGTGGTGGAAAGTTACCTCCCCTTCTTGAGAACAGGAGATCACGGGCCAGTCATGGCACTCCTGATTTAAGGAGTTAAATTTTCCTTTACCATTAGATGTTCCCTTTTCAGGGCCTAAGTTTTTAAACTTTTATTAATTTCAATTGTTGGACCCTCATTAGTTTCTTACCTTGTCTCCTTAAGCAGAACCCCTGATGTTTTACACTACTTACACTCTAAAGTCTTACCTCAGGACTTTCTTGTAAGCAAAACGTAAACTGAGACACTAAAAGAAGTGAAGTTATGAATACAGCTTCCCTATATTTTTGATTCACAATTAAGTCATTTTCGTGTGTGTGTGCATGGCATGAGTCTTCCCAAACTCACAATTTTTACATACATTCAAGACATTTTTACCCCTAATACAAGGTTTTCTCACTTAGGGAGTATTAGGATAAAGTTTGAGGGCGACTTGGGGGGCGGCATGGCAGATTCCATGGCAGGCGAGGGTGACCAAGGTGGGGAACAAACACCTCAAGGAGACACAGTTTAAGTGAGAAGTTTCATTAGAAAGAGGAGAGAGGGGGAAGAAAAGGGAGAAGAGGTTAAGCGACACAGAGAGAGGACAGTAGAGAAGAGGGATATAGGAAAACTCCTGTCTGCTCCAGGGGAACAGTGAGAAGAGAGGGGGGAAGATGTTAGGACATACACCTGGCTGACCCTGTAAGACTCCTGGAAACTCAGGCCTCCAGGATCTTTTCCCAGGACTGCAGCCACCCCAATCACCATGTGGAGGCAGAAACTTGATGCAAACAGCAAGAGGCTTTAATGAAAGGTGGATGTTTGTACAAACGGGCTCTTTCAGCATGCTGGCTAGAGAGCAGCCCCGTCCCCCAGGCACAGGCGTTTTTAAAGGCAAAAACCACATGCGTAGGGAGGGGCCTCGACTCTCTGTTCGTTGTGACCAGAGTCATGGGTTCCTAGGAGGCCCTTTGTCTTGAGGGGAGGGCTGGGAATCAGATGGCCTCCTGACCCACCAGTTGTAAAACCTGCAGACCTCAGGATGTGCCTGAGCAAATGGTAGCTATGTCTTTGTTTCATAGGGACCCTTAATTGTTAATTATTGACACATTGGCAATTTGTTTCCTTCATGAGCCCCTCGGGGAGGGTGGCCACCTGGAAATTCTTGGTACCCAGTTATCTTATGGCCTTGTAAGGGAATAATTGTTGGCGGCTGGTAAATTCCAAGAACTAAGTCATAGTAGTAGCCTTGGTCAGTTTCTGAGCTATATTTCTTTGCTAATTTTTTAATCTTTCAACCCTACCCTCTAAGGACATGTTATGACACCGATCACACATTATGGCCTTCATGAGGACTCTGCACATGCATGGAACCTCAGTGTGCATGCTCAGCCTTCCCTTTAAAAGTCCCAACTTCCCTGCTTCGCTCTCTCTGCCTCTCTCTCTGCCTCTCTCTCTGCCTCTTCTCCTCCTCTATGTCCTGCTCTGTTCTTCTATTTCTCTCTGGTTAGTTTTCCCACCCTATAATAAACTGATTAATGTATCTCTTAGTTTCATGCCTCTTCTTCTTCTTTCTAATTTAAGCAAAAATGTAAAAGAATAGAGCTGGAAAAGAGCAGAAGCAGGAGAGCAGAAAGGAAGAAGAGACAGAAAGAGGGTATGAGTGGACAGGTTCTTTCTTTCAAAGGGGTCTTTTGCACCTGTTTGCAGACTAGTACCCAAGGAACCCTAGGCTTTGCAGAGTACTGCCTGAGTTCATTCTGCCAGGTGTCTGGGGCAGGACAGCATAATGCCTGAATTCTTACAGAGAGTGCTAACTAAATGCCACACACAAGACTGAGCCCTTTCCAAGTGATATGGTATTGAAGACCCTTGATGTCCTTGGCCTAATTCCATGTGTGGGTGAAAGGCAGATTCTGTAAGGAGGGTGTGGAAGTTCATCTCTCTTCAGAAGTAAGAAACTCAATTTCATAGTGTGGAAAGGAATCATGTCCTTTTCAAGGAACTTGTTCTTCATTGCTTTCTTGTTTTGTCTCTTTGCCTTTTCCAGCCAGCAGTGCTTTTGAAGAACACAATAGATGGCAAATTCCCATTAAACACAATGTCTTTGAAATTTTAAAAAGCAGTGAGGGTCAGCTGTGTGAAGTCCTCCAGAAAAAGTTTGGGTGTGTCTCTACCCTGAACTGTCTGAGTGTAGCAGGAAACAGCACTCCTCCTGCTCAGCAGGTCTTCAGAAGGATGCTGACCCCTTGGATAGAGTTATCTGTCTGGAAGGATGACCTCACCAGACATGTTGTTGATGCTGTGGTGAATGCAGCCAATGAAGAACTTTGGCATGGAGGTGGCTTGGCTGGAAGCCTGGTGAAAGCTGGTGGCTTTGAAATCCAAGAAGAAAGCAGAAGACTCATTGCCACCTATGGGACAGTTCCAACTGGTCAAATAGCTATCACAACAGCAGGGAGGCTTCCTTGCAACTGGATTATCCATGCTGTCGGGCCTCGGTGGACAGGCAGCCAGACATCTATTGAACTTCTGAGAGCTGCCATTAAGAACACCCTAGACTATGTCTGCATATGAAATACACACATTAAGACGGTAGCAATTCCAGCCCTGAGCTCTGGAATTTTCCAATTTCCTCTGGATTTGTGTACACACACACAATTTTAGAAACTATCTTGCTTTATTTCCAAGAGAAGCAACCCATCAATTATTTGAAAGAGATTCATCTGGTGAGCAATGAGGACCGCCCTGTTGCATCCTTTAAAGATGCAGCGGAAAACATCCTGGGGAAGATGGAGCTGAGCCCCTGGGAGAGTCCAGGAACTACCCCTTCTTCCAATGTGATACTTCAAATTGGCCAGGGCCAGACTCTCCAGATTGTCCAAGGCTGTATTGAACTGCAAACAGTAAGTCTGCTTTTATGCTTTTATCCTCTGACAGAGGGGAATCCATGAATTGTTTTCAATTAATTATTTAAATTTATCTATTTATTTATTTTATGTATGAGTGCTCTGTTTCATGTATGCCTGAATACTGGAAGAGGGCATCAGATCCCCCTAAAGATGCTTATGAGCCACCATGTGGTTACTGGGAGCTGAACTCAGGACCTCTGGAAGAGAAGCTAGTGCTCTTAACTGCTGAGCCATGTTTCCATGCCTGAATTAATTGTCAGGTATGAAGATGTTTAAAGTGGAAGACCACAGAATGTATCACTTTGGCGTTAACAATGTGGACGTTGGGTTTAGGCCATCTGGATTGTAGACCGCCTTTATTAGTTCCTAACAAAACTATGTTCTTTCTTCCTGTCCTCAGTCCTTCCTCTGTAAAACATAACGACAGCCCTTTACATCTGAAAGCTGGAATCAGCACCCAAGAAATACTTCCAATTGTGTATGGCCATGTTTAATACAGGAGGTAAAATTACTAAGCTTTGACTCTTATGAAATCTAAAGAGTTTCTAATACACTTTGATCCCAAAGTACTTAAGCTTCCTCTTATTTCTTTATTGTTTTTGAAGCAGGGGTTTGAAACATGGTCCTCTTGCCTCAGCCTCAAGCACAAATTTTTTTATTTTACTTTTCTATAGCGTCTTGGCTGTCCTGAAACTCGCTCTGTAGACCAGGCTGGTCTTGAACTCAGAGAGATTCACCTGCCTCTGCCTCCCTAGTGCTGGGATTAAAACTACCACACCACAGCTGAGTACTAAAATGAATGAGTGAATGAAATTAGTTTGTGTATTGACAGGTATGGGTTTGTGTGTGTCTGTGGGTGTTTGTGGGTGGGGTTGCACACCTGTGCATAGGTATGAAGGGGGTCAAAGATCAGCCTTGGTTGTCTTCCTAAAGTATTGTCTCTCCTTCTTTATTGAGGCAGAGTGTCTTGTAGGTCTGGAACTTGTCAGTTGGAGTGAGCTAACTGGCCAGCTAGCCCCAGGGAATATCTTGTGTTGGCCTTCTCTGGCCCAGTACTGGTGAGAAGCCTTGTAATGGTGTTACAATTGGAGGTCCCACTGAGATCAGGTGAAAGGGGAGACACCGAAGGATCACCCAGGAAGGCTAGCCAGCATTAAGGTAAGGAGCAGGTATATTGAACATGGTCACCTCAACTCCTGAGAGAGTTAGGTTGGAAAGGTATTGGAAGGGTGCCTCAACTCCTGAGGGATTTGGATTGGAAATAGAATAGTGCTGTCTCAAAAAGAAATTGAAAATAAGAAAAAAACAGAAAAATAGAAAAGAAAAAAAAAACAGGAAAATAGAAAATGTGAAAAATTGAGTAATAGGAAAGAAAAATTGCATAAATATGTTTATTAAGATTTGTTCCGATATCAGACCAGCAGAAACTTCAGTTAAAAATATGTTATTCCTACAGAGAAAGCAAGGCATAGGGAGGAAGAAGTACATAGAGCCTTCTAGAGGTTGTTTTGGATGGGGTCAGGGAGGGCACTGGGTCAGACAGAGTCCCAACAGAAGAGGAAATAGGGAACCAGGTTTGTGCCTGAGATGCAGGAGAGGAAAGCAGCCACAGATGATCTACAGTGGGCCAGACTGCCGAAGGCAAGCTAAAGGCCAAGATCAGAACTTAGAAAACTTGCAGCCTTGGGAACTGCCACCGTGGCTGACCCCAGTCAATGTATAGAAAATGCTATTAATACAGCCAGTCAGAAACTGTTTTAAGACCTTATGGAGAAAGAAAGGCAACATAAATAAATTTGGATCTGTTCAAATTTTGGATGCTCATATTTCAAGGATTGGCTATAGCTGCTGTGTTATGAGAGATTTCAATCATAACTTAGGCAAAAGGAGAGATGAGAAATGTGTGCATGCTCTGCGTGTATGGTGTGGCCACACCTGAATGTATGATTGTGAATCTGTGAATACTGACAAAAGGAATTGCTTAATTTACCTTGGATGTAGTGGAAGGTCTACCAAGATTGCTTTGAATATAGTCAAAAGGGGCATCCAAATGGTCAGTCATTGTCTTGGTAGGAGGGGTTGGTGATTTGAGTCCTCGGAGCTGATTGATGGAAAAATAGCAGAAGCCTGTATCATTGATTTGGGGGTAGGGGGAGTCCATGTGGATGATTCTGTGGAATTTGGCAGAGGAGAGGATATGGAGATCCTCATAAATTTTTATGGTTAAAAAAGAAAATCTAGAAAGTAAAAGTTGATACATGATTTGAAAAAGAAAATTTGAGAAGAAGCTTCAGGAGACAGCTGTCTGTTATATCCACAACCTGGAATGGTGTCAGTATATAGGCAAATTAGGCAGTGTCAACTAAGATGCAAATGAGGCCTTGCCAGCTAATGGGAGCTTTGAAGGTTAGATTGGAAAAGACTACTCAGAAACTTTAAGTAAATCTCAAAATTTTTTTGGGACATACGTTGTATTCTAAAGAAATTAAGGCTTAAAAGATACAAATTAGAGAGGATAGTTTACAATCTTTGAATGAATTTTTTAAAAGTTGTTAAAAATATTCAATGGCGTCCCGCGCGCTGTATGTTCTCGCCGGCAAGAAATATACACACAGGACACTCGGATCCTTCTGCAGAAAAGCTTTAATGCATCTTGAGAGGGGAGAGCATAAGTTACCAGAGCGGAGACCCTGGCCCAAGAATCCCGTTCCTTAATAAAGGCTGGCAGCCGCCGCCTGGGACGTGTTACCCTATGAATGGCTTCAGCTCCTCAGGCCAAATGAGCCACGGGATAGGCAGAGATCAAAGGAATGGAAATTACCCAGCGCCTGTGAAGTAATTTACATTTGGTGTCTGCAGGCACCATCATTGTAATGGAGAATGCAGGAACGGCTCCCTACATATCCCCCTTTTTTTATTAATTAATGATAAGGCTTTATATTTTTACAAGCAAATAGGTCACCCATATGTTGAGGGATAGAGGCAGAGGTTGTACCTTCCCAAATCAAACATTAAGACTGTGTACAAGAGTCGCCATCAGGCTGTTAGCTTGACCCGAAGCACTCTCGACCTGTCCTCTGCCGTTTTTCTGGGAAAGGGAGGCTGGGGCAGGCAACCCTTATGCAGGACAACATACCT